CGAAGAATAGAGATGTCACGAGTCCGGAATAGAGAAGCTTCATGTAGAATTCCTACCAGGTCTACATGAGCTTCTGATCAGAACTTCGGAATTCTTGTGAATGCGCTTGGTAATCTTCGAATAACTCTAATCTTATAATTTCAATTTTCATACACACTTAACATACTAAGAGTACACGTAATCTCGTGCAGACATTTATTTGTGAACAGAGGAAGTAGTATTTTTCACCAAAAACAACCCATGTGTCTGAAATGTGGGTTATTTTTCACCAAAAGTAACCCATGTCTTTCTGCACTTTCTACGGGAGGAAGACCAGCAATTCAGAAATGAAATGCAATTGGCACAATTTTGGTTCAGTTGACTTATTGTGGGCGTTCGTGAAAATACTTAACCTGAACCTTATTGGGCAGGGAATCGAATGCAAGTTTTCCCCCCTTTCTGCGCGCCAGCCTGCAGACCGAGTCCGAAGAACATCCACAAACTATTCTTATGAACCATTAATTTAGTTCACAACGCACGTTAAAAACCAATTCGTTCTTCTTTTTCTGTCGCAGGGTGTCAAGGACGCCATTCTTTATAGCACGGTACGCGCTCACTGTACTGCTCTACAGCATAGCAGCAATGAAAAGCCTCTACGGGGATAGTAGTGCATTCTCTTAATCGGTAAGATCTTTGTGTCTAGCACACTCGTTGAAGCTAGAATTCTTTTAGATGCTCTTTGGCAGAGCTCCAAGTTCTCGCCCGATTCTGCTCGTGATTTGCGTTCTTGAAGAAAAGATTGATGCACGAAGAAAATCATCAATCATCCATCAGAGGAAATACTTTCTATCAACCGCAAATCGCAATCCCATACCGTACCAGAAGGTTGGTCGCATCTACAGTACTGTCGGTAACACCAAGACGTACGACTGATTACTCTCAACAATACCGCCGCTGTATCTTAACAAGCAACAGACAATATCGGCTCTTGAACTCATTGTAAAGGGATACCCAATAGAAGCAGTGTATCAATAGACTTGCCACCGGAGGTACAAGCGTGTCATCAGTGAGAGCCTTTCGTCTTTCTAGGTAGTATCAGCTTTTATTATAGTACGCATTTGGTGTCTATCGATACGGTTCATATCTCCAGACTCTGTTTCCTGAATCGCATATTGGCCTAGACCGAAGCCATTGCGCTGCGCAACCGCACATACCCATTAATAATCTCAACAAAGATGAACAATCAGCAACAGCAGCAAGCCCCGATGTTCACGACGAACCTCTCTGCGACTACACAGGCCGCCGTGGCACAGCGCGGTACACCCTCTACCTTAAATCTGGATGATATTTTTGGAGACGTCATGTTCACCCCCGATGGAGACACGGTATTTCTGAGCGAGGAGCAGGACGCACTCGCTTCGGGTGAACAGCACGTTACAACACAAGCTAGCAAGATTGTACATCAAACCGGAGACCATCACTCGCAGCAGCACAGCCAGCAGCCTCAGGCAATTACTGTACAGAATGGGGGAGGCTTTTACACCACCCAGCTCCACGATGCTAGCAAGCCCGCGAGGGCAATGGGAGCCATGGTGCCCGGTGTGACCAAAACAACTGCACAGGTTCCATACAAAGAGGCACCACAGCAACGGCATCATCTCCAATACGCCTCCATGACTAAGAAGAAGTCATCTAGGTCGAGTGAACGCAAAATGAGCGAACAACAAAAGAACGAACGGCGGTAAGTTGGTTGTGTCGTGTTGTTTTTCGATAATGCTACAAATGCTTTCAAATGCGATTCAGATTCTTCGAACGATACGGAACGCCTGAGTGCTTTTGGGCGACCTTCTCTTCGGGTGATTCAAACGTCCCTTCGTGACCTATGACGCTTGCATTTATAGTTATTTATTCATGGTATTTTTTATCTTTCTTCTCTAATATTTTATTCTTCATGCTCTATTCCGTCTACCAATGATTGCCACAACCGCAACGGTAACGTGTGCTACTAAAACGTCCTCACAAACAAATTTACGCCATCCCCAGAGAACGGAATCGCGAGCACGCGAAGCGAAGTCGCATCCGCAAGAAGTTCTTGCTGGAATCTCTGCAGCAAAGCGTGGCCATGCTCAAGGAGGAAAATGAGAAGCTCCGGGACTCCATCCGCAACCATGTTGGGGACGAACAGGCCGAGAAGCTTTTGGAACAAAAGATGGACGGTTCCAATGGAGACATGCGACTCATCACTTCGTCTCAGGGTGCCGCCAACAAGGTATTGGATGATCCAGACTTTTCCTTCATTAAGGCGCTCCAGACGGCGCAGCAGAACTTTGTGGTCACCGATCCCTCTCTCCCGGACAATCCGATTGTCTATGCCTCGCAGGGTTTTTTAAACCTAACAGGATACTCGCTCGATCAAATCCTAGGCCGCAATTGCCGGTTCTTGCAAGGGCCCGAAACGGATCCCAAGGCAGTAGAGCGCATTCGAAACGCTATTGAACAAGGGACCGACCTCAGTGTGTGCCTGTTGAACTACCGGGTCGATGGATCGACCTTTTGGAATCAGTTCTTCATTGCCGCTCTTAGAGACGCTGCTGGAAACATTACCAACTTTGTGGGTGTTCAATGCAAGGTCAGTGATACGTATGCTGCCTCTGTAATTAAGGAACAGCAGAAAGAAGAAGAGGAACAGGCACAAGCACAAGCCCAGCAAGAGGCTGCTGCTCAACAGCAGCAACAGCAACAACAACAACCCATGATGGATCCACACCAAGCACAACCGCCGCCTCAGCAGCAACCTGTGCAACACGATGCTGACCCATCCATGCAGCAATAGAGAAGGTCGAAACCTTCTTTTCGATGCTCCTGTCTGAACTGGATTGGTGGCATATCATACACTATGATGTTTACCAACCTCCGCATAGGGCATCAACAAATCAAACAAAACAAAACCCAACGTCATTTTACATGTAATTTCTAGCAAATCAACTCACCAACTGACGACTATCGAATCATTCACCAACAACGGGGCTAATTAACAAACACCACACTCACTTTTCGTCGGTCAGACAACACGAAACTGCACAAAACAAAACGCACATCATGCTACTACGATTCCACAACTATTCCGAGGCCGACACTAATGAGAAAATCTAATTCGAGCGGTTAAGTGAGTCAGTTATGTTCCACAAAAGAAGATTCTTGCCACCAATTACAATTCATTAAAATGCAACCAATCAATATAACAATAGTAGAACTGGCAAACATACACTCCTCCGAAGAAATGCATTTAATCATTACTATTTTAAGTGTAATTATAACTTGGAAGGGCTTCATTTAACATCATAGTAGTGATGAGGATGAACAAGTTACATTGAATTTGGTTTTGAAAATCTTCCACGAAGCAGCCATAGATGTATTGTGCAGAGCCGCTGAACCTCTTTCTATTCCGTACGCAACCGATAGAKCGGGACACCGACAGATGAGACTATTCTTCTTTGTGCATTGGAAACCAAAATAAGGTTCAGAAGTTCAGGATGGACTCTCACTCCACGTTGTTTTCCTCAAGAACGATTTCTCTACCAGAAGGTCTACTACCTCTCCTAATCTTTACCAAGCCCTAACCGTCACAGGGCCCTCCAGTACCCATGTGCACATCCCCCTTTTCAAATTCCTCCCCCCAAAAAATGGGTTATTTTTGGTGAAGAATAACCTATGTTTTAGAATTGTGGGTTATATCATGAGAAAAATAACCCACGTTTCTAAAACTTTTTATTTGGAAAATAACCCAAGAAAGAACCCAGGAATCATGAATAACCCATGAAATATCCCACAAATAACCCACATATTTACAGTCATCTGGGTTGACGGAGAACCAAGGATGTTAAGTATTTTAGTCATTAACATTGATTAATCAGTTTTAATTTTTGAAAATAGGCCCAGCAGATTTGTGGGTTATTCGTGGGTTAATCCAGGAGCCCATGAACCAACATTTTAAAACATGGGTGGTGGTGG